TATTCTCAAGTAAACAATACATACAAGTACAGTACAGTATTTTCTGAGGAAACACTCGTACTTATTTTTTTTAACCCCATTCCCGATAACCCGGCATTTTCACAAACTCGGCCACCCTTCGGTCCACATTAGGCCGAGTTTTCGAGGTTCTACTGTAACACGTAATGATGAAGTAGAAAAAAACCCAAATCTCCACCTGGCATTTCCGTAGACCTCTCATTCTATAGATAAGGACGATCGAATAACCTTACAAATCAACAATCTTTAACGATCTTTTACATAAGTTCGGAGATAAAACCAAACAGCTAATTATTGATTCAAAATTGCGTAAATTATAAGGTAGAGTCAGAACACATGGCAAAAAGTATCAACAAACCGGCCTAGTCGTCAAACTGTTATGGCCCGTATCAGCCGGACGAGTGATAGGCTACATCTAGACCTTAGACTATATTAAATCAAAAATCACCGGATTTTTCTCCCACACTTAGGAGGATAAAAAGGGCACGCACTCAAACTTTGGGACGAACACTCCCAAGAAGCTAGAGTTCAAGCTTCCGTCCGTCGCCACTCTCGTCTCCTGTCTCTCCTCCAAGATGATGCTGGAGCATTTCACGGACGTTCTCATAAACAGAATCAGAAGACATCAAACCGTTTAAGAGGTATTCAATATAGACTTATGTAAACTCTCTCTTAGTTTCTGTATTTAGCTCTGTATTTAGTGTTTAATATTTAGCAGGTAGGTTATTTCCGTAGACATAGTTTTATCTCCTTTGTATTTAACCTATGTGTTCATTAAACTTTCGTTAATTGTTATCCGGATCTCGAGATCGATTTGCTTGGATTGCCGATCACCTATCGACGAACTCGCCGATTCTCCCCGCTAGAACGATAGGCCCTCCCACTATGAATAATGAATCTTCCCAGTCGACTGGAATTGACCTACAATTATCTTCAAGAGTTAGGACGCGCATTCTTACTATCGTAACTGGTGTCATTATCTGATCTTACAATTCGGACTACAACTAAAGATTAGTGCTGGGCGATTAATCAATCGCAATGGAAACTAATCGATTATAATAGGAATCGATTACCTCATAATCGAATAAAAACATTAATCGATTAAACAAATTTGTCCCGCCGGTCAGAGCTGAGGAGTGGGCTGATAATCGAGTCACGAGGGTGCGAGAAGAAGAAGATGAAGAAGATTAAACAAACATGGCGGCGGCGACTAGGAAGAAGTCAGAAGTCTGGCGTTACTTTAAAAAAACGTTGGAACGGATTTCGCAGAATGCACAATCTGCAAAAAAAACGTTTAAAAGTGTGTGGAAACAACCAATTTTGCGATGCATTTCGAAGATTATCATGAACACATTTTTCGCAAGAAGGTGAAAGTTGTAAATCGTCCTACTACCTCACATAGTCAATCTGACCACATGAAAGTAGTGGAAGTGAAAGGTAATAGTAGGCCTAACTGTGCTGCTTCTACCTCTTCACAGTCGTTACAAATAAGTGTCATCGATTCGTTTTCCCTGATTTCATCTTAAGTTACAGTGGTAAGTTAAAGTAAAACTTTTATGAACATTTCAAAAGTTATTGTGGTTTAATGAATTTATCATTTTACATTTTTTGATTATTTTATTTTATTGAATAATGTTAACTTACTTGATTTGTCTTGCCACGTGGTAGTTAGGATTCTTGCCACCACGGGGCAAGACAAATCAAGTAAGTTAACATTATTCAATTACTACTGCCACACAATTTTTAAAAAACCGTTTAATTATGTATTATATTTTAAGTTAAGTTATTTGATTATATCAAAGATTAATCTACTGATTGTCTATATTATTTTCAGAAGGAGGTGATAAGAAGAAACAGATTGTAAATAGACTTGTTTTATTCATTATAAAAGATAATCTACCTGCTGATATTGTGAGTATAGATGACTTCAGAAAATTTATGAAGGTGGTAAATTTACATTTTTTGGTAATAGACAAGAAAACGGTTCGAAATACAGTAGGGCCTCGATTATCCGACCCCCGATTAACCGACACCTCGGTTAACCGACCGTTCTAGTCGTCAAATTTCAAATGTTTGCTAGTGATGTGGCGCTAAAATATTTGGCTATGTCTTGGCTACTTTAATATTATTCTTACGTGTTTTAGCTGGCAACACTCATTTACCATGAAAGGGAGCCAGTATTTAAAGGAGGCTTAATTTTCTAATTTTTAACGATACAATAGCGACGATTATTATTTAAAAAAATTTTTGTTAGGCTTAACATCGATGAAAATTCAACGCGAAGTAGGTTAATAGCGATATACTAATATACTAATTACATGAGATATAGTAATATACTACACTAATAATGGATTTTTTCATACTTTTCGGTTATCCGACTTTTCAATTATCCCACCAACCCCAGTCCCCAATTGGGTCGGATAATCGAGGCTATACTGTAAAACGATTTGAAAATTCAATTCTGTTAAGAACAGCTGCGAAAACTTTTTTCATCCCAAAGTAAAATTTATCTTACAACAGATTCCTGAACTGATTCCTTTAATGTACCTGTACGTTCATATCTTGGAACTACTGCTCACTTTGTGGAAGATTGTGTTTGTAAAGTGCAATAATTGGACTTAAACATTTAGAAGCAAGTCATACAGCTGAATATTTGTGCAAGTGCCTAGAAGTAATCTGTTCAATTGTTGGGATTGAAAAGCACAAAACAGTTGCAGTTGTTACCGATAATGCGGCAAACATTTGCGAAGCAGTACGTTCAAAAGAAACTTTCCCTTTGAAACTGAAAATCAGTGTACTCACCAGATGGAACTCAGTATATGATATGCTGAATCGATTTCTTAAAAATTAAAATTGCAGTTGCCATTGTTCTACAGAAACTAAAAGATGCTCCCGATATGCTTGTTAAAAGTGAAATGGAAATCTTGGAAGAATTACTTGGCAACTTGAACTGATGGGTGAGAAGTACACAACAGTTAGTAAAGTGATTCCTGTTGTTGGCCTCATTGCAAAAGCTCTGAAGGCAACAAACCCCCATCACAAGTTCGATTTTTTTTAAACATCGTGATAAATTGCTATCAAATGTGCTCTTGCATTCTTCTGTGATTCTGTGCGTAATTCAAGTACAAGTGCGTAATTTTTGTGAATTTTGGACGTCGGAAAACTGGATACACAAGATTATATCAAGTAGGACCCATCTTGATAAAAAGAATTTTCAAAATGGCTATTTTCCACTCCGGATCGTTTTTCCGAAATTGGAGTGCCATTTAACCGAAATTCGCTACGGCATCGTTACCGCCTTGGTTTTGTGACTTGGATTACAAAATTTCGTGGTTATAGGTGCAATTTTAGACATTTTATCGCTATTTTTCGTGTTATTCCGGTCGGTCGTCGAACTCAAATTGCGGGCTTCCTGTTTGATATTTTGAAAAGATACCTGGGTACTTTTTTCTACCCCCTTTATGTAAGCTGATTTGAAATTTTTGTTAAAATTTGTCCATTAGTCTTTGAATTATGGCCATTCTCGTATGTATTCCAAAATCAAAAATTTCAACTTTTCATAAGTTGTTATGGTAACGGTCATTCACCTTTTGCTCTGAACATTATATGTTAATTACTGGAAATCGGCTATTTTTTAATTANGCTATTTCTTAATTAATTAGTAATATAAATATAGACTGTTATATATCTTTGAAATCGGCTCTGTATTTTATTTATATCATTTATAATATTATTGGGTTATTATATAGTGAATTATTTTTTGAAAACTTTCTTCTACAATGACTTCACATATCATTGAGGAGTTCTTGGATAAATCTAATGAAACTTTAGACGAAATTAAGATATGCAGTTGACAACCCTAAAGGGCATTTTAGCACAAAACAGCATGTTAATTTTATAACTGATCAATATACAAAAATGATTAGGCTTGCTGAAAAAGCATTACTGAATGTCGGCTCATTGTTTACTTCGATAGAAAAATGTAACGATACTCAACAATTGATGATAAAGAAACTTGATGACATTGAGGACAAGGTTTCTCATCATGTTCTCCCTGCACCTCTGTACAGTTCAGTGGTAAATCAGGGAAGGCAATTGCAGGAACGCCGCGAGGTCGTCACATCTGCTTCATCAAGAGAAGTTTAATGGTATACAGTAAAAATAAAGAAAATAATAATAGCGATGCCGTGAGAAAATTAATGCAGACCAAGATAAGACCATCTGATTTACATATTGGGATTGACAATCTACGCAAGATAAGTGGAGGGGGAATCGCTGTGGAGCTAGGTGGCTGTGGTGATGCTGCAAAACTAGACGAAAGCATTAAAGAAAATATCCCAGATCTTATTACACGCAAACCCAGGAAAAGATTACCTCACATGGTGCTATTCTCTGTCCATACGGACATTCCTAGGGAGGATCTTTCTCATCAAATCTATAATCAAATTAAATTGATAGAAGAAACATACACTGAAGAGGAATTTCTTAAGCAATTCCGTATCAAATTTCAGCTGGGGAAAAAAGAAACTACATATAAGAATTGGGTGGTGGAGGTGTCCCCTCTTCTACGGAAGTCACTTTGGAAATTAGGTAAGATAAACATAGAATGGTCGCGCTGCAGGATAGCAGACTTTAGTCCGGTCCTGCAGTGTTATAAATGCTGCCAGTTTAACCATTCCGCAAAAGACTGTCCGCAGTCTATATACACGTGTAGTCAATGTATGGAGGAACACCCTTACAAAGACTGTCCACATAAAAAAGAGGATCCCATATGTTGTAATTGCCATCAAGATAAAACAAAAAACTGCAAGCACAATGCTCGAGATAGTACATGTCCAGTATATCAGCAAATTAAATCTCTTATTCTTCTAAGAACTGATTATGGATCGGGAGAGTAAGATTTACTTAAGAATTCTGCAGTGCAATTTAGAAAGAAGTATCTCAGCTACTTCTTTGCTCGGTAAGCAGTTAAAATATTATGATTTGGCACTGATACAAGAACCATATTGTCGTAAAAACATTCCATCGTGCCTCCCTACCTTCTGCCCTATCCTTAAATGAACGAATCAATTCCCTTGGGCCATTACCCTCGTGCTGAATACTAGTTTATAAATACTTTATCACGAGAAATATAGTAATGAAAATATCATTGTTTCAGAGATTATGATTCAAGAAGAAAGAATCATTATTCTGAACGTTTATTTCCCGGGAGGAGTTGACACTGAAAGTTTTATCGATGATTTACAAAGAATAGTCGAAGCTTTTCAAGGGACTCATATAATTATGGCAGGGGATTTCAATGCACATTCTCCTGCTTGGGGAGAGGATAATTTGGACAGACGGGACCGTCTTCTTGAAGAATTCTTGGCATATAATGATCTGTTGATCCTGAATAATCCCTTTTCACCCCCCACATGTAATTCTGCAAGAGGTAGCTCCTGGATTGACGTGGCATTTTGTAGTGCTGGTTACTATACTAGGATTGAAAACTGGAGGGTACTTCCTGATGAAACATTAAGTGACCATGATTACATTGCCTTTGACCTAACTGGTACTGAGAATAATCACACCTTGATCTCTACTCCTCAATGTAAGTATGCTCTAAATAGGGCTGCCTGGTCAGAAATGAAGGAATTTCTCGAGAACAACCTTACTTTTAGCTATTCGGATAATCCCGTGGATTGTAGAAATCAAATTAACATTAACATAGAACTTATTTCAAAGGCTTGTGAGACTTTTATTCCAAAAAAGGTTGTGACTAGGAAAAGCGTCCCATGGTGGACAGCAGGGCTGAGCGATTTACAGAGAACAACAAAAAGATTAAGGAAAATTTATCAAAGATGTAGAGATTATAATGCAAGAAATCAGCATAGAGAAAACTACCTTGCTAGTCAGAGAATTTATAAAAATACAATTAAGGAGGAAAAAATGCGCAGTTGGCGCAACTTTTGCACAAGAACCTCAACTAACCCATGGGGTTATTTGACAAAAATGTGTTGTAATAAACTTCGTAAGACAAAGATTATGACCGATTGCAATTTTAGAAATGAATTTCCTTCATTAATTCAGGCAATGACCACGCAACTAGATATTTACTGCCCTGAAGATGACCCTTCTTCTGATTCAGAGTGGCAAAATCAGACTCGACTGGAACAGGATATACTGGAGGATACTGAGGATATTCAACCTTTTACAGATAAAGAGATTGATAGGGCTTTCCTGACAATGAGAAAACGTAAAACCCCGAGTTTGGATGGAATTACAACGGAAATAGCCATCAATCTTTGGAACCTGATTCCACATCATTTTATAAATTTATTTAATAACTGTTTACGACATGCCATTTTTCCTAGGGCCTGGAAACAGGCAAGAGTCATCCCCATACCGAAGCAGGGATCAGCTGACTGTAGACCTATTTCACTGTTACCAATTTCGGGTAAAGTACTCGAAAAACTCATTGCGGTAGGATTAACTTGGTACACAGAAAACTCAAGTAAAGTTAGTGATACACAATATGGTTTTCGTCCTCAGTGAACAGCTGAGGACGCTATAGATAACACAGTCCGAAATATTTATCGTATCCTACAAGAAAACAAATATGTCCTAGAGGTCAGCCTTGACATCTCAAAGGCATTTGATAGTGCCTGGTGGCCCCTAGTGACTCAGCAACTACGAAGAATCAGCTGCCCCCGTAATTTGTTACAACTCCTGCTTGACTACTTTAGGAACAGAAAGGCAATTTTCCAATACGGTCAACATGAGGTACACAAGGACATCTCAAGAGGCTGTCAGCAGGGGTCTGTTTGTGGACCCCTGCTTTGGAATATTATGTTTGATTCTTTCCTGAGGGAAGACTTTGGACAAACTCATTGTACCGCTTATGCAGACGATGCATTGCTGCTTCTTGGTGGAAGATCAAGAGCAGATATTCAAAACAGGGATAATTTAATGTTGGCCCGTATATATGAATGGGGAACAAAACATAAACTTCATTTTAACACAACCAAAACAAAGGCTATTGTATTTAATAAACCCAGAAAAGGCAACCTTTACTCAAGACCTCCTTTACTGAAGATGAATGGTAACACTATCAAGGTCGAAAAAACACTAAAATATCTTGGTGTTATACTGGATTTCAGACTTTCCTGGGAAAAGCATATCGAATACGTAACAAATCGAACCGGCCTCATTATACAAGCATTCTCACAAGTGGCCAAAAAAGATTGGGGGGCTTTCATCCGAAGCTCTCTCCACCATTTATGACAGTATCTTTCTCCCTGTTACCACATATGGATGCGGTACTTGGGGAGGCGCAGTAAATAAAGTACATACAAAGAGAAAGTTAGTATCCTCTCAAAGACGTGCACTCCTTTTATTGACAAAAGCCTTTCGTACCGCAAGTAACAATAGTCTCCAAGTAATTGCACGTAAGTTACCTATTGAGATAGAAATTTTGCGTAAGAAGAAAATCCAACAACTTAAATGGGGAGATTCAATCCAAGCAGGATCAATAATAATAACACCCGATGAATGTGAACAACCTTATCCTTTTTGTAACACTGCATCCCCAGATATTCTCAATTCGAATATACTTGACCACTATTCAAATTCGGATATCACTATATTTACAGATGGTTCTAAAATTGATGGTAAAGTAGGAAGTAGCTTTGTGGTTTTCAACAAACAAATAGAGATACACAATCAAGCTTATCGTCTCCATACAAACTGTACTGTTTTCCAATCAGAACTTTTGGCGATTCAAAAGGCCATTGATTGGGTTAGTGATAATTTACCACATTACGATATTCAAATCTACACAGATTCACTCTCTGCCCTTTACATTATCCGTAGCACTAAGCTTCATCCTTTGTCAGTGGAAATAAGGAATTCAATCAGAAACTCAACATGTAATATCAGTATTTCTTGGGTTAGATTTCATCAGGGACTCACAGGCAATGAGAGGGCTGACTCTCTTGCAAACGCTGCACTTAACTCCACCATTCCTTTTTCCTTCGATAAAATCAGTCATATCACTTTGCGACGCTTACTATGGGAGGAAGCTATTAACCATTGGCAACATCGTTGGAATGATAGTAACCAAAGTATAACGTTTCAATTTGTCCCCGACTTAAAAAGCTTCTTTAAAATAAAATGGTTTAATTCCGATTACTACACAACTCAATTATTTACAAATCACGAAAAATTTGCTACGTATCTTGCCAGATTTTTAAACAGAACATCAGATCAGTGCCCAACCTGTATGATTGCAGATGGATCTCAACACTACATTTTTGATTGTGTGATGACCGAAATAAAAAGAACTGAACTGCGACTACTCTTGCAGGAATTGAACATAGCTTGGCCGTGCCACTTCTCAAACATCTGGACCAACAAAGAGATATTCTCTGCCTTTAAAAGACTTGCAAAAAAGATCAATCAGATCACAAGCCAACTAATCTACTGCTGACACTGACTTTGACTTAAAGACTGTCTACTTATAGTGGTAGCTTTGTAATTACTATTTCACACGCGAATACGTTGTTACACGTGAATTTTATTTAGTTATAAGTTTTGTGCATTTTATCCACAATTGCGAGGTTCTGTGTGGAATCTACATTGTATTTACTACTGTTTACTAACATTTTCTGTATTCATTTTTCTGCATGTAGTCCTGTGGAACTGATGTCATTTCTGCATGGCATCTACAATGTACTCTTGCTGCTTGCATATATCAACATGTATTATCTTATCCTGTATGTAATTTATGGACTTCTATATGCAATTCTGCATGTAATCTACAATTACCTCACTGCTGTTCACTTATGTTTTTTTCTGTATTCATTTTCTTCTACTCGTAATTTTGTGGATTTGATGTCGCGCGAATACTTTGTTTTACTAAAGTATAGTATAATTTAATTTTATTTAATTATAATTTTATGGATTTTATCCATTAACTTAAAGTTCTGCATGGAATCTACAATGTACATACTGTTGTTTGTTTACATTTCCTGTATTTTATTTCCTTGGTAGTGCTCATAGCGGAGCCAAGGTATGCATTTATGCCTCCGTAAATAAATTGAATTGAATTGAATTGAATTATAGTGTGAAAGTGTGCTAAATTAGAATTCACCACAAAGGCAGACAGGATAAAGTAACAAAAGTTGATATAATTTTCCAATTAAGCTATT